CAAGATGAAGCATTCTAGAGATTGACTGCACAGCACCATAAACGTGCTTAACACTACCGACCTGTACACTTAAAATAGTTACAATGGTAAATTTTACTGCAATTAAAAAAAAAAAAAAAGAATTAGCTTCAAATTCCACCAGTAGAGGAGAAACTGACACAGAAGTTTTATGAGCACTTGAGTTCCATCATTTATTCATGCTTTCTGGATCAGTTGGCTCTTGCTGTGTAACAAACACTTCTAAGATTTAGTGGCTTAAAACAACAACCATTGATTTAGATTATGATCCTGGTCTGCAGTTTGGGCTGGGCTCAGCTGATCTAGGTGAGGCTCAGCCGATTTTGGTGGGAGCTGGCCGGTGTGAATGGCTCCTCTCTGCTCCACATGGCCTTTTATCCTCCAAAAGACTCACTCAGGCTTGTTCATGTCATGGTAGTGGCAGGGGTCCCAAGAGAGTGAGCAAAAGCAAGCAAAGTTTTTGAGGCTCTGGTTCACACTCACATAATGTCCTTGCAACCACATTCTCTGGTCAAAGCAAGTCACAAGGCCCATCAAAATTCAGAGGGTGGGGAGACGAACTCCACCCCTTGATGGGAGGGGAGGCAAAGAATTTTTGCCATCTACCACACAAGCTGTATGGTTGTGCCATGGCCCCATGATAAATGTTGAAGATAAACATATAAATAAGTTACAGTCTAGTGCGGGAGACATACACGTAAATGAATAATTACAATGGACAGTGTGCTCTAAAGAAGTAAGCACAGGATGCTTTGGGAGCATGGAGGAGGGCGGAGGGCAGCGGCATGTGGGAGAAGGAGGGGAAAGAGGCAGACACCTGGGACACAGTAACACCTTAACTGGTATTGCAGGTCAAAATGATCACTAGCCAGAAGAAGGGAGGAAGAGAGATTGAGGCGGAGGGCCCCGAGAAGGGTGAAGGCTGGCAGGGGACATGCCTGGGGTACAAGGAAGCTTCAGTGAGGAGTAGAAGAGGCGGGCCATGTCACAGATGGCCTTGAAGACTTTACTGAAGCTGGATGGATGGCCAGGTTGCTGAGTGGAGGGGGCTTAGGGCCGGCAACAGCCAAGACATCCTCGGGGGCTGCTGCCCTAACCCAGGTGAAAGAGGGTGGTGGCTCAGACACCCAGGTGTTCCTGAGGCCAGGAGAGAATCAACAGCAGAGATTTCTAGGCAGTGAAAGAGTCAGGGTGGAGAAGAGAGGAATCAGCAGGGAGATTCAGTGTCCCCTGGGCCTGTGCTTTATGCCCAGCAATCTGAACAGCCAGGAGTTCCCCACTGAGGGGCCAAGGCCAAGGGCACAGCACAGCCACTATGTGGCCAGGCAAGGGCATGGGGTCCTGCAGGCACAGCTGGGGCATCCCACCCAAAACCCAGGAGACCAGAAAAGAGTTCGCTGTTATCAGCCAACAAGGAAGGACCTGAGGTCAAGGCTTCCCTTCCTCCACAAGCTTGAGGCAGCCAGATTCTGCAGGGTGCTGGGGTGCTGCAAGGTCTACCCCGAAGGCCCAGCCCCTGCCAGGCTCTGCCCCAGTGCCCACAAACTGTCCAAACTGGGCACAGCGTTGCTGGTCGGAAAGCTTCCCCAGGACCCCACATTCTTCCAAGACCCTCGTACATTAAGTGGTTGTCCTTGGCCGAGACACGGGGTAGGCGGGAAGGCAGCTTGTGCCTGGAGCCGGTGCTGGCTTCCTCCCATGGATCCTGGGTCATGATGTCCTGAAACATCCTCTCTCTGGCTGGGCACTCAGCCGGCAGCAATAAGCACACACTGCCTGATCAATACTTTGAATGCACTTGGGGCCCCGCTGTGAAAAGGAATCCCCTGGTGAGCACTTTCATAAATTGAAAAATTTTTCTGAAACTGAGTAATCCTGCCCAGCTATTAAATCCAGATTTCCGCCAAGTGAGAGTAGAAAGTGCTTACATTTCGATGGTGACCTGGATCTCTGAGCACCTCCCAGATCCGTCCAGGATTCCCGGAGGCGGCAGGCGGTACCTGCCAGCACTGGGGCTGCACTCTGGGGCTGCACTTGTAATCTTTGCTGGGACCTTGGTTTGAAGTCAGAGCTTTCAAAAACAATCAGAATGCTCCAGGCCCAGGAGGCGTGGTATTTTGTAACCACTGTGTTTTCCTGGCCCCCTGGGCATGGTTAACTCAGCAGGCGCATGGCTGCATCCATCACTCACAGCAGTGTGACAACCAACGGGGAGGCAAGAGCAGGTGCTTCTAAGTGCTTGAGGGAACTGAGCACCTAAAGCTGGGGCAATGTGCCCAGGGTCACACAGCCAATTAGTGACAAAGCTGGAATGAGAACCAGGACCCAGAACTCCAGCCCAGAACTCTCTAACCCCCACACGACTTCACTCAAAAAGGTGACGTCACCCACCAGGCTCATGTTTCAGGAATGAATTCAGTTGGTGGCTCTTCTTGGAGCCGATGTGTGAACATGGCGAGCAGTTCAGCCTCAGGCCCGCCGGACCCTGCAGGTTCCCCCCATCGTGTCCTTGAGCGAGCAACAAGCTGGGGCTGCGGGTCCCACAGCCTTGCCGCCTGCACCTCTCCCAGATGTGTCCCACAGGCCCTCACCCCAACCCCAAACTGAAGTCACCATGCCCTCCCTTCCTGGTGTCCCTCCAGAAGCCTGGAAGTGGCCCTCGTGCTGGCTGCCTCCCTTCCCCTCCAGCACTGAGCCCCCCCCCCCCCCAGGTTTCACAGCCTAAATATTTGTCTTTCTTTGTCCTTCTGTCCCCATTGTAGTTCAGGCTTTTGTCACTTCTCACTTAGATCATGGAGTGATCACCACCATCAGCGAAAACATCATGCCTGCCTCCCCTTGGGCATTTACTATGTGCCAGGCCCACAGCTAACAGCTTACCATGGACTGGCTCATTTAACCTTCAACAAAGGTAGAAACTGAGGTTTCAGACACGTTCCCAGGGTCATACAGCTGATAGGAGGCAGAGTTCAGGTTCTCCCCGGGGCCTGGCTGAGGCTTCCCCTCGCCCCACCTGCCTCTGGGCGTCCACCGGTTCTCCCTGTCCCGCCTCTAACACGGCTGCCAGAACGATTTGTCTGGCACCCAGGTCTAAGCCCGTCCCTCCCCTGAACAGAATCCCATGGCTCCCTGGTGCCCACGAGACTGAGCTGCCACCCTCTCACAAGGTTCTTGAGGTCTGACCCCACCTGCCGACCTATCACGTCCCTTTGTTCCCAATCTGCCCCCAGGTGCCCTGCACACCCTCCACCTAGTGCTTCGGGCCCTACTGGTCTCCCTTGTCCAGGTCTGAGCGCACCCACGGGAGCCTTCCAGAGGCCCCAGCCAGAGGGCCCACACACACCCATGCAGGTACCCTGCAGCTCCGCCTGATGTGGGGTTGGTGGTGGTCAGTGAGTCGGCATTGCCCACACAACTTAGACCCCCTTTCTCACTGTCTGCCTTGGTCTTCAGCAGAACCAGAGCCCGGTACGTGCTCACAAAGAAGGGCCTACCTGACACCAAGGCCCACAAGCCCCTGAGCTCAAGCTCAGGGATTTTCCACCAGGCTCTGGAAAAGAGTGGGAGCCTCTGTCCCCATTTTGCAGATGTGGAGACAGAGGCTTGTCCAAGGACATACAGGTGTCAGGGACAGAGCTGGGCTCGGGAGCACATCTTGACAGACAGCCAATGCTGGCCCATGTGGACAGAAATGACTGGTCAGTCTGCAGCAGGGCATTTTGGAAAGTAATCCCAGAACACCAGCCAGGGTGCAGCATAGACCTGGAGGGCTCAGGGTGATGGTAGGGGACTTGGAATCAGGGCTCAGTTCTGCAGACCACCCTCTTGTATTCATCTGCCAAAGAACATAGCCCTTCCTGACAACAGTCTATGTCATTCTGGCCCAGCATCTGGGCCTCTGATGTCCGGCAACCAGCAGCTAGAGGGTCCGGGGGGCAGGCAGGCAAGGCAAGGCCAGTGGGAGTGTTGATCGTCCGAAGGCCCTAACTTTTGCAAGGGAAAGAGTTTCTCTAAACTAATCAGGGTAGCCATCGGGCTCTCTTCCTTACCCTGCTGAGCCTTGAGGTGGGTCTAGGAGACATCCCCAGGTTTGGAGCCCACAGGCCCGGGACACTCTCTGAACCAACCCCAGGTGGCCAAGACACCAGGCAAAGGTAGGTGTGCGTCAGGGCGGGAAGGCCCCAGAGGCCACTTTGGGACCTGCTGGGGCTGTAAGCCAGGCTCCCCGACGCCGAAGCCCCAGCTGAGGGTGGGCACCCTGAGAGAACGGCCCAGGAAACGGGAGGAGGCGCACACAGGTCCTACCTCTTGCCGGCCTTCCCCAACAGTTCCGGAAGTGTGCAATGGAAGGAAGTGCTCTCCAGGCCCCCATTCCACCCCTCCCTTCTTGGGGCCCCTCTCTAAGAAGCTCACCCCATGCCTTGACTTGAGCGTTTAACATAAAGGATGCTGTTTTTGCAGGTTTTGTGGTTTTTATTCCTTTGAACCATATCCAGCCCATCTTACATCACAATGCCATGCTTTACTTGGTATCAGATACATCAGCACTCATTGGCATTTGGAGAACTCGTTCTGTAGTTTTATAACAGTTTTTAGTTGTCTGTGATAATGTATTCTCTGTTTCCAATTGTCAGTATGGGAATCTTTTCCCCCAGCCTTTCAATTTCTGGGTTTGATTTTTTTTTTTTCTGTATTGTATTGTTTCGGTTTGTTTTTATTTATTTCTTTGTTTTCTTTCCTTCTTTTTTTTTTTCCTTTGCTTTTGAAAGTTGTTGTTCCTTTGGTTATGTAGCCCCTCCCAATTGCTGCTTGTTTACGCATCGTTTGTGACTTCTTTTGACTGTCAGTGTTGAGCCAGTCTTGCCAAGAAACAGTATCAAGTATTTTCCTATTTCTCTACTTCTTGAAAGAAAAAATTTTAATTAAAAAAAAAAAAAACTCTTAATGGGAACCTGGCCCTGTCTGTCTTCTCTGTTCTGCAGAAATGTTGAAGGAATTGAACCAGCAGCGCAGAGCGAAAGCGTTTACAGACCTGAAAATTGTTGTTGAAGGCAGAGAGTTTGAAGTCCACCAAAATGTTCTAGCTTCCTGCAGCTTGTATTTCAAGGACCTGATTCAAAGGTTTGCCTTCCTTCCAGCTGTGGTCGGGTCTGTTCCTTTGTAGGACGCTTTTGTGTCGCTTTTCTCCTCCCCTCTCTTGCAGGTTCCTGAAGCGTGACTCCCTGTCACAGAGCCAGTAGCCATCTCTCCCCCTCCTCCCCCTCCTCCCGAGTGCCCTCTCACACACAGCCTCAGAGCAGCCACTGCCCCCGGCCTGCCCCACGCAGCTTTGCTGGTCACCCGGGGGCCACTGTCAGCAGTAGACGACACCCCGGCCCTGCCCCGAGGATCCCGAGTTCTCAGTGGCTCACAAGCCCTCCCTGAGATTAGGAGGACTGTAGACTCCACGTAGGCTCCACTTTAAGGGACCACTGCACACTGTCCCCACTGGTCGAGCACGGGGTCCCAGGCACCGTCATCACTGCTGTCGATAGTGAACTTAACGCCAGGAAAGCACATCGACCAGACCGTCCCCCGCTGAGGAGCACAAGGTGCCGTTTTCCACAGCTCGAGTCGGGGAGAAGAGACTTGTAGCCAAATCCTCATTCACGCTGCATGCCTTGATACTTGTACACTGAGCCTAAACCGGCGTTGTCTGAGCACAGACCACGTGTGTCCTAAACACGGTCTCTCTCAGCCTTTGCTCCCCTGCCCTCTGCCCTCTGCCCTCTGCCCCGGCTCTTTCTACCTGAATGAGTTTTAATGGTGCATGAGCATCTTTTTTTTTTTTTTTTCTTCCATTTTGTTGATTTTTTTAATTTGTCTGCTTCATACCCTCGCAAACGAGTCAGGGGCCACCTTCTAGCTCCTTAGTGAGGGAGAGCAGCCGAGGGGGCCGGCCCAGGGTAACGCTCCTGTCTCTCTCACCCATCAGCAGATTAATGCCGCTGCTCATTTTGCCTTGCAGCCTCTCCGGGGCGGACGCTGAGCCGGGACTGGGCTCAGAGTGAGAGGACAGGACCTCTGCTTGCTTCCCAATGCTGTGTTTGGACTTGCCAACTAACCCCAGAGTGACTGTGTTTTGTTTCAGGATGGCACACTGGCTGGCACCTCCTTTCCAATCTGTTGTGTCCTTTCACTTAGAGCTGAGCTGCCCGGCGTGCAAGCCCCGCCCAGCCACACTGGCCCCAGCCATGCAGGACGGGGCAGGCTCTTTGTGACTTCCAGTCTCATGGACAGCTTGGGTCTCCCGCCCCCGGTGCTTGGGTTCTCGCTATCCAAGCACAGGGGTCAGGGGCATGAGCTCTGGGGTAAAGGGGCACGTTCAGTGGCTTCTTCAGGCCAAGGGAGGTCTTTGTGCTGCCATTCTTGGCAAATTCTGGTACTGGCAGTGACCAGCATCCTAGGGCCTTGGTCCCTGCTACAGACCAGCTGGAGAGCACAGAGCGGGCAGGATGCAGGGGCAGGTTGGTACTAAGCGATGGCCCAGCCCTGGGCTAGAATGATGCGGGCAAGAGGAGCGCAAGAGCCATTTGAATGTCTTCAGAGACCTTACATGCAAAGCCAAACTTGTACACAGCTGAGAAGAGGACACCACTAGGTGGGAACCCAAAGTAGTGAAGCCTTCTTAGGCCAAAAAGAAAGAGGAAGAACATTCCAGGCAAGGGGTGGTTTGCTTGGAATGGTCTGGAATACAAGGAATGTTCTAGAATGTTCTAGAATGCTCCAGACAGGGGATGGGTTCCTGAAATGAAAAGCTGGGACAGAGACTGTCATGAGCAGTGTGGAGGGGAATATAGCCTTCGCAGAGATGGGTGTGAGCTGGGGTGAGATAGGCAGGCAAGCCCGGGCCCCTGGGGCTAGGGCCCTGGGCTTGGTCTGAGGATGTGGGGGTCATCAGGAGCAGGGGATGCTCACCTGAAGATGAAAGAACTGTGGGATGTGCCTCGGTGACCCTAAGCGGAACTGATGGGTGCTAGAGCCAAGAGGCAGTCACTGGAAGGGAGAGGGCACCCCACTGGGAGCTAGGAGACCTGGGTTGTACACCTGACTCTGCCACTTGTCCTATGACCCCAGGCAAGTCACGTCCTCTCTCTCGGGCCTCGAGATTTCTCATCTGTAAAACAGGAGGTTGGTTCAAATGACATCCAGGTTTCCTTCCAGCTCTGACATCCCAAGGTGGCGGTAAGGGGATGGGCATGGCCGGGCCTGCAAAGGCTTCCCGTGTGCAAGCCCTAGGACGTGAGAATGGTGAGATCACAGGGTGGAAGGTGGGTCCATGGACCAATGTCAGGGCAGAGCTGAGGGGGTGATGAAGGACGTCCAAGTAGACGCATCTCGTAGGCAGCCACAGAGAAGGGTCTGAATCCAGACAGGTTGAGGCCCGGGGAGACTCCTTCGGCATACAGGAGGGCACTCAGGGAGGAGGGAAGGCCGAAGCCAAGCCCAGAGACCCCCTGTGGTTGAAGGTCACAATGCTAATTTGCAGCCATTTCAACCTTTTACTTCCCTCAACTTGACCTTGGTGCACATCACCATTTCTGCCCATGGCTGCAAAAAGAGTCCTCTTGTGGGGAGGAAAGTGGACTCGCTACGGAAAGACGATTTCCTTTCTGGCCGTGTAAAATTCTGGAGAAGCTCACGCTCTCGCGGTCAGGGGACGGTTGACGTCACCAGGCCATTTCAGTCTGTGACCCTGGAGACTTGGTGTATATCAGGCAGGACGGCTCAGCGAGAGAAATGGGGCCCTGCCCACTGAGCCCGAAGCAGGTGCTTCCCTCTCGGGCGTCTGCACTACAGAAACAGAGGGAGTGGGCACAGTCTGTTTGTGGAACGTGGTGTCCCGGTCCTTACCTTCATGAGGGTCTCGGTGAGCACTGTCAGGGGCGGGTGGCTGTCCCAGGACCCGCAGACCCAGAGGCTCAGGCTGGACTCCTTTCCACCTCCGTCCTGGGGCCGGTAATGCGTTCACCACTCCAGCCCCAGCAAGGACACCATCCCAGCCCCCAGCCTCGACCCTGGTGTGGACAACCTCACCCTGGGCCACAGGACAGACCTTAGGGAAACCAAGTCATTCGGTACTTTTCGCTCAGCTAACAAGCAGGAGCCCTTCCTGGGTGCCAGGTCTGGCCGGAAACGCTAGATGAGATGAGTCTCTGCCTCGAGGAGGCCCACAGCCTGCCAGGGGGAGCCTGTAAAGAAGTGTGAACGGGAGAGCAGACTGAGCACACAAATGGGGTTTAGCGGCTCACAGGCAAAGCACCTAACTGTGGTAGAAGAGGTGTTCAGGGACAGCCCCCAGGGAGTGGTGGCATCTGGTGTGGGTTTTAAACAAAGAAGGGAATTGGCCGGGCTGGTGAGTAGGACAGAGCCACTGCTGGCAGAGGAGGGAGAGAGTGAGGCCGGTGCCAGAGGTGGAGCCGGCTCGCAAGGCTTTGCTGGAAGCCCGGAGGGGCCACGGTCAGATCTGTGTTTCATAAGGATAACAATCAGTGAGCGGGAGAGCAGGATCTCAGTGTCCTCTCTTGACCAGCTCAGCTGCCCGTGAGCCCCGGGGCCAGGCAGATGTCCTGCCCGGAGCCCCCGTTCTCCAGGCCCCAGGCCGACTCCCCACCTTTGTCCATGTGTTCTTTCCTCACATGTGCACGTACCTTTAGTGTGGCTGCAACGGCTTCTTTCCACTAGTCTTCCCTGACTGAGATTCAAACTCCTGTCTTTTTCCTCTGATGAGGACAAGACCCAGCCCAGAAGGAGACTTGTAGAAATGTCTAATGCCATCCTGAAAATCCTCCCACTAACCCTGAGAAGCAGGTGCCATTAGTATCCCCATTTTACAGATGAAGAAATTGAGGCCCAGAGAATTTTAAGTAAGCAAGCAGGTCCGGGATTGGAATCAAGGTCTGACTCCAAAGCTCATGCTTTTACCACCCGTTCGCTAACCTGGAGAAGAACAAAAATGTAGTCTTTATTTGTGCATGAAGTCTATAAGGAAAGAAAGTGAAACTTAGGGTTGACCGTGTAGTCAGATGGGCAAGGAAAAAGGATGGAGAGCCTGTGTGTGTGCATGTGTGTGTGTGCGCGCGTGTGTGTACACTTGTGTGTGTGCTAGAAACACTTGTAAACTGGACATCAGATCTGCCCAAGAGAAGACATAATCCTCACCTAAAACAGGTACCTAAGTTGCAGACACTTGCCCTCATCCAAGGGGAGGCCGTATCCTCTGGAGTGAGGAGCACCGGAGGAGACTCCGGGAGGCCATCGGGAAGCTCGGAGCAAAGCTTGTGCTGAGATCCCCAGGCCGGACTCGCCATCCCTTTTTTGCCCCATCTGAGTCCCTGCGACAATCAGGGGTGAAAACACGGCAGGAAGGGGAGCTGCGGCTTTGCCTTTGGATAATGTGAGGGATAGAGTGCTGCGTGACCACCACACCTCTCCTGCACCCAGGCTGGTGGGGGACCCCAGCAGGACTGAGTGGGCTGAGCCCCAGGTTTCAGAGGCTTTGAGCCGACTAGAGCTAGTGGGGTTCTGTGGTGTGGTTGCAATCTCCCAAGTCCAGAGTCACTTCTCAACCCTGCTGAGCAAGACCTGGGTCTGCCCTGGACTTTTGGGGGAGCCTACAAAGAAGTCCCTTCACTTATCCCCAGGAGCCAAGGAGCCCTCAGGGTCCACTTGTGCCATGAGAGGCATTGGCTGCACCCCTTTGCCGGGTAGGCTGTGGGCCCCATCACAGAGGACAGGGGGCTGTCCTTAGAGATAGCAGAGGGAATGCCCTCCCTGCCAGTACTTCCGAACACGACCACAAGCCTGGGTGTGGGAGAAAATGTCAAGCCCCAGAGAAACTTGCCCCCTCATCATACCAAATAGGACAGAGACCTGGCATTCTGCCTTCTAGCTGAAACCCTCATCTCACAAAGTCTGTTGGAGCCAATGACTCATTCGAACTATATTCTCTTTTCATATTAAATAAAAACAGATGGCGACATTGATTTGTCCAAGGTGCTTTTCACAAGCCCCATGTATAGGCTCTGGGCTTCTCCATCTTTCTCACCAGGGGAAGCTAAAGGGATCTACCTAACTGAGTGGCATAGAGTCCAGATGTAGGGGAGCCCAACAGACTTTAACACAATAGTCAGGCCATATGCTGCCTTTCACCTCCTTCCCTGTGGGGTTGGGCATTTGTGGGTGGCAGTCTGCCCCCTTTCCTGGCAGAACAGAGAGGTGTGGCCGGAAGACCACATAATAAGACAAGAGATTCACAGATCTCGAAGGCCAGCAGAAAAATTTACGTCAGACCCATCGCCAAATCACCATGGGTGGGCCAGGGCTCACCCGGTGAGACTAGAGTGTGCCGTGTCTGTGCCCTGGAGCAGGAACGTGCCTGAGCTCCTACGCATGCAGTGGGATGGAAATCACATTGGAGGAGCGGGGTCATCCTCCTGAGCAGTCAGGATGCCATCCTCAGTCACCACCTGCTCCATGACATCCCCCACCCACCACTGCCCCATGTGTCCCTCCCATTCTAGATCTAAGTTGCAAAATGAACGCATATGATCACTGAGGTGTGCGAGGAGTAACGAAGGAGTGCCCTAAAATCTAGGGAGGGCAGTTCTTATCCAGGAGAGCAAATTGCTGATGGTGGGATCTCAAACCATCTCCTCTTTGGGATGAGGCATTCCTGGCATGTCCACAGATCCAGGCCTGCCAAGCAGAGGGTGTGTCCCATACCTGAGGAGAAGGTGAGCCCAGGGAGTTTGGGTCTTCTGGCAGAACCCATGGGTCCTGTGTGGACGGGGCAACACCACCCTGCCCCACACTCCCACCCCCAGTGTTAGGTTCATGGCCCAACCTGACAAGGCTACCACTGCTCATTCCTGCCCTGCCCCATCTCCTTCCAAGGCCATGTCATGACCCAGACTACCCAGCAGCTTTCAGTACTCCATGTGGCTGAGTGGAGCAGGAGACTTGGACCCCAAGAGCCAGCTTAGGACAGGGACAGAATGGTCATCTGTGGAGGACACAGCTTCCCACTGGTGACCAATGGCCACCCAAAAGAAGCAATGCCTCCCAGGGGATCCCTACTTATACGGAAGAGGCCTAGGGATCACTGAGGTCTAGTCCCAAGACAGTCTGATGGTCAGCAATGGAAAGTGACCACCAGCTTCCCTTGGCCCCATGAACACCCATGTGGACAATGAACATGTATGTGCAGATGAGCTACATAAGGCCTCACTGCCTGGGGCCTCACCTCCTATAGGTCTTGAGCTCAGCCAGCCAACAAAGCCTCCAGCCATTCCCCAAATGTCCTTTGCCCAGCAGCCCCCTGCTTTCCACAGGGGGCCTGAAGGAACAGCTATAGCCATGCATTATAGGGACAGTGGTTCTTGCCAACCCTGGACGGCACCCGCCATGGTCAACACCCCATATGCCTCCTCACATTGTCCCTGTACTCCTTGGCCATGTGGGCACCACTCTGTCCCCAGGACCCTCTCCCTGGCTCAGAATCTGGGTGGGACAAGCATCTCTCAGAAGCACAGCCATGCATGTCCCATCGGACTCATCACTCAGGGCCGTAGACTCCCCTGATGTTCCATCTGCCCAACACCCCTCCCCACAGGGTGATGCTGAGGGTTCTCAGGGTCACATGTCACATGGACTTCAGTGTGTGTGTGTGTGTGTGTGTGTGTGTGTGTGTGTATACAGCTGAAGTCCACCCCAGCTCTTCACTGAACTGGGGCTTGTCTCCTGGGTGGACAGGAGGGCTGGCCTGAGGTGGGCACAGCAGTGGCTGGGGACCTTGGGAGAATGTGAGCAGCCCGACTTTGGCCCCATAAGCCCTGCCCTGGCTGTGGCCCAGCAGGACCGCTGCAGAGCATGAAAGGTGTGAGGAGGAAGGGCCAGGCAGTGGCATGTAGGAATGAAGGCAGAGGCAGCAAAGACTGAGTAAGAGGTTGACCAGATGGCCCCTGAGGCCTGGGGTGTTAGATTTCTGTGGTTTCAAGTGATCACATAATGAACTAGTTTTATACTGAACAAAGTTACCCAAGCATGAAAATCTATCCCGACAGCAGAGGACTCGGTGTGTTAAGTCACTTGAAAAGTCACACACGCTGTGTATGTCTCTGGGTTTGAGAAGAGCCTCTGCCAGCACTGTTCCCTGTCAGCTTTCCCTCCAGGCCTGGAAGCAGGGCTCCGCAGGCCTCCATCAGATGAGCCATTCCGTGGGGAGGGCCCAGCGTGACACCCTGGGAAGGGTGGCAGGATCACAGCTACATCTGTTCCCTGCCCCATCATATCGGTGTTTGAAAAGCACTTGGTGGCCAGGCCTAACTGGAGAGAATGTGGCTCTCGTGGTCGCATTTCAGACTCTCGCGGGGAAGGTGTTTCCCAGCCTCTGTCACATAAACTTTCCATGGGACTTCAGATGCCATCCAGTTCAAGCCTCTTGTTTTGCAGAAGAGGAGCCTGAGGGCCAGAGAGGCAAGGTGGCGGCCTGTCAGTGACGGGGCGGGGTCACGCAGGTCCTCTAGCTCCCTGCCCACACAGGAGTCAGCCTCCCTCTGGGGCTAGCCTGCTTACTTCCGGACGCCTCCGCACCCTGGCTGCCAGCCACGGGGGCACCCAAGGGACCAGTCACGAGAGTCTCACCCCAGCCTCCTCAGGACTGGGGGGGAACACAGAGGTCATTTCCCAGCCACGTGGCAGAACCCGGCCTCGGGCAGGACCAGGCTCCGTGCAGGAAGCAGGACCGGTCAGAGTGGCCGTGGTGGGGCACCAAGCCAATCATCTCTGAAAAACCTGCCTCCTGACTCTTAACGCTCTGGGTGTCTTTCCTCCTGGTCACTTCTGTGGCACTGTTATTTTTGCCTCATCTTATCTGTTTCCTTCCAGGTGCAGCTTTAGGGCGCGGCTGCCAGGCCTTAGGAGCCTTTGCAATGGTTTTGTATTTCTGTAGACACCAGATATAAACATATTTATATATTTGTGTCCCTCCCCTGCTCCCCCCAGTTCACAAGCCCGACGCACACTCTACACGCAGGCCACTCTGACCTCTGACCCCGTGTTCCATGTGGCAGGAGGGCCCCGCCCCGGGCCAGGTCCCAGGTCATGGCTGCTGGCTGTCTGTGGCGGAAGTCCTTGGTTGTTCCCCTTCCCCTCCCCCCCAGCTCTAACCATTCTGTCCGTCTATCTTGTCTCGTCCTCAGTTTCAAAGCAATGTCATGAAGGGCTTCCTTTCCATGCCTAAAAAAGGAAACAATATGTTTTTGGAAATAGGTGGGGTTGGAGTCAGGGTTCCGGGACAGCTTGGGGCGATCGAGGGACGGCTCAGGATCGGCTGTGTTCACGGCCGGTTGGGGGCCTCAGTCACACCAGGGGCTCTCCCACTGGAGGCGGCCGGGCCCTGGACCCGCCGGCCTTGTTTGGCCGGGACGCCCGGAGCCGGAGCCGGCAGTGGGGCGGAATCGTATTGTTTCCCTTTGAGGCCAGTCCTGGTCCTCGTCCCCATCCACAGCTCATGCTTTTTGATTTGCATCTTTTTTTGCATGGACATGCCAAGTAGTGATAAGCAGGGTTTTCTGTTCTTTTGGGCGTCTCTGGTCAGACTCTTCTCTTTCAGATCCCGTGTAAGGTCGTTAGGTTCAGGCGTGTCATTGCCGTGTCCCTTGAGTCCTAACATGAAGGGCGTGACTGAGGCGTGCAGGGAGATCTAGCCCTGTGAGGAGGCGGCGCTGTGGCCGCGGGGTGGCAGGTAAGAACACCCTGGTCTCTGTGCCTAGGTCGGTGCAAGATGGCAGCCAGTGTGGCCGGGAGAAGCTGGAGCTCGTCCTGTCCAACCTGCAGGCCGATGTCCTTGAACTGCTCCTGGAGTTTGTCTACACGGGCTCCCTGGTCATCGACTCGGCCAATGCCAAGACGCTGCTGGAGGCCGCCAGCAAGTTCCAGTTCCACACCTTCTGCAAAGTCTGTGTGTCCTTTCTCGGTGAGCCGGGGGGGTGGGGAGCGCATGGGTCACCTGGAGGGAATAGCACGGGTGAGCAAAAAATTTGTAAGCAGTGAGGATTCAGAGGGAAAGGCTGTGTGTCCACCTCAGGGTGGAGCTGGATTTCACAAGGCAGCTTGAAGATGAAAATTCAGATAACTGCACGCCCTGGCACAGACCTGGACGCGTCCAGGCTAGAATCGCCGGTAGCCAGATCTCGGGAGAGCCGGCCAGACTGATGCCCGGTCTGGAGGCCAGGTTGGGTGAGGCTGAGGCCCATGGGAAGTGGCAGGTGGGCATATGAGTGGTGTTACTGCTGGTGTGATTCTAAAACGGGAGCCTGTCACAGTTATAGAAGACACTGGAAGCCTCAGCGTGGCCCTTGACCCCAGCCCAGGCCCAAGCTCTAAGGCTCACAGGCAGTGAGGATGCCTCCAAGCCTGGTACTGACACTCCATACCTCATGCTCTCGGTCCTTCTGCTGGGACCTGCGGGAGCAGAGGGAGGTCCCAGGACAGGAAGCATGTGACAGGGCAGAGGAAACCCCGGAAGGTACACCCACAGCTCCAGGGATACCGGAAATGGTCCTGTGGGGACCCTGGCTGCTAAAGGCAGGTCACAAGGACATGGACTTGGAGAGGGATCCAGAGTGTCAGGCGATAGGAATGGAGGGCCACCCTTCCAGGGCCCTGTGGTCAGTGGTCCTGTGCTCTTGCCCCCAGAGAAGCAGCTGACGGCCAGCAACTGCCTGGGGGTCCTGGCCATGGCTGAGGCCATGCAGTGCAGCGAGCTCTACCACATGGCCAAGGCCTTTGCGCTGCAGATCTTCCCTGAGGTGGCGGCCCAGGAGGAGATCCTCAGCATCTCCAAGGACGACTTCATCGCCTACATCTCCAATGACAGCCTCAACACGAAGGCCGAGGAACTAGTATATGAGACCGTCATCAAGTGGATCAAGAAGGACCCCGTGGCCCGTGCACAGGTAGTCCCCCACCCCACCCACCCCTTCTCCCTGTGTCAGGGGCATAGTGCAGGGATGGCGTCTGGAGCAAGGGTGCAGGAAGGTGGAAGAGGCAGGACGGCCTGGTCAGACCATCCGCGGGGTGTACAGGAGCCCCGAGGCCCGGGCAGGGGGAGGCTGGGACTGCCACTGTGGGCAGCAGAGAAGCAAAGGGAGGGATGAGAGATGAGGGGTCAGCTGCCAGAGGGTTGGAAGGGCTGTGTCCCACCTGAAGGAGACTCAAGCCAACGAGCGGCTGCAGGGCCGTACAGGGTAAAGCTGGTGCCCCAGGGCCCCTGTGAGCTCAGACCGGGCAGGAGGAGACCCCTCCCCCAATGCTCCGGTTATGGAGAGGGTGGAGGGCACCTGGACCAAACAGAAACCACGCCGGAGATGGGAATCCACTGCACACATCACAGGAGGGAAGTCCCTCGGAGGGGACAGCTGGGGAAATCGGAGCCAGGGTCCAGGGCAGAAGGAGAGGAGGGCAGGTCCCCGGAAGGATTCCAGGATCCCCGGAATCAGAATTCGATCACAACCCAACAGGATCTTTGGGCCAGAAAGCACGTGCTGAAGGCCTTGCTCAGAATGGGACTGCCTTGGTTCTCACATCTGAGCACCCCCCACCCCCAGGAGTTAGTATGGACACAGGTAGTTCTCAGGAGAGCTCAGAGTCCACCTGGAAAGCAGCACAGGAGGCCAGGGCCCACAACACCCTGAGGCAGCTGAGTGATAGAAGACAAGGGAACTTCACTGCGTGTGGAGCAGGAAGCGACACAAGGGAGGGAGGGGTGGGCCAGGCGCCGGCATCGGTAGCACGGGGCCCTCCACCCTGGCCCAGCCCCTGAGCCCAGGAGAAGGGCGTGCTCTGCTCGGATGGCGAGGGGGCAAGATTCATTTCTGGAGAAGGCTGTCAGGTTGGGCAGCTGTAATAGAGACTGCCCAATGCACTAAGGCCCCCAAATCTGTCTCCAGCCCAGACCTCCGAGTGTCTACTGCACACCTGTGGCCAATATCCCTGAAGCCCCTCTAATTCGTAAACCCCCAAAGCTACACACCTTCTTGTGTTGCTTCCTTCCATTCCACCCATTACCCAAAACAGAAGGCTGGATACCTCCCACACCTCCCACATCCATGGGGCCACACGTTGCTGTCGCTTCGTCTCCTCGCTCCCTCAGGAGAAGACCGACTTTCTCTCCCCATTCAGGACCCAGATCTCACCAGCATCACTGCAGTCGTCTCCCACGCGGTTGCCCTGCACCAGTCTTCCCCACTCCAAACTCATTCTGACCCTGCCGCCTGAGCGAGCGGTCTTCCTAAAGGACACGTTGGATCGTTTAATTTCTTTGTTTAAAGCCCCCGTGAGCGCGTCATCGACTCTGCAGGAAACACCACTCGGGCCTTGGCAAGGGAGGCATAGGGGTGGTCAGGCTCTGGCCCCCACTTTGTTGCGGTGGGGCCTCCACACCCACCGCAACAAAGACTGTTTGCACCTGACAAGAATAAGCTCCAGAGAATTCCCCACGTGCGCCGATCTCCCCACCCTTCCCATGCCTCTGTGTGTGCTTTTGGCGTCCTCCCTCCTCTCTGCCTGAGGCCTCAGAAATCTGCGATCCTTCCACACCCAGCTCAGGCGTCATCCACTCCCACACTCCCAGACCCCCTAACTGTACTCCTCCCTGGAGCCCCACTAGTGCCTTTTATGTAATGGTCCTCCCCCCCCCATTTTACTGTGTACACCTGAAAGTCAGACACCAGGTCTTCCTGGGCTTTGCACCCCCAATAAGGAAGGTCACCAATGATTTGTTGGATGAAACTAAAGCTGAGCAGTGAGCAAAAGGTTTGCCAGGCAAGAGGGATTTGAGTCAGTCCACGAAAAGCCTTCAATGCAGGTGAGAGGGGCCAGGTGCCGCTGAAGGGGTTTGTTGGCACTGGGGAGACGCAGGTTCTGACGGGGGTGACTGGCAAGCTTCACGATCACCGTCAGCCTTCCCGGGCCGTCGCACCTGTTTTTGACTTCCTGCCCCACGTGCGCCTCACCAGGGATCAGGATGCTCGTTTCAGCACCCCCCCCCACCCCGCCCCGCAGCCTGGGGTGAAGCAGACGCCCGTGAGCTGGGCGGAGGCAGGAAAGAGGTGCCGAAGAGGCAGACGGACGGTTCGCCCCAGGGTCAGCCGCGGCACACCCACCTCCCCCATTCCTCTCCTCTGGCTGGTGGGAGCCCCCGCTCTCACCGTCTAGGCTGGGCTGAGCAGTGTCTACACTCTCAAGCCAAATACACACTGGAGTGCCCCCTGTACAGTACCACACCCCTCCTTCCTGTCTCCCCAATCCAACTCGGCAGGGGTGGCTCCGTCCGTGTAACCTCGGTCGATCCCGTGTCTCCCCCACCCTGCAGTATGCCGCAGAGCTCCTGGCCGTGGTCCGCCTCCCCTTCATCCACCCCAGCTATCTGCTCAACGTGGTTGACAACGAGGAGCTGATCAAGTCGTCAGAAGCGTGTCGGGACCTGGTCAACGAGGCCAAACGCTACCACATGCTGCCCCACGCCCGCCAGGAGATGCAGACACCCCGAACCCGGCCCCGCCTCTCCGCAGGTACCGAGGGACATGCCCCGAACTCCCCAGATGCAGGTGCCATAGGGTCAGCCCCACTCTGGGTGGTCCCCTCCAGAGGCACCAGGCGCAGAGGCTAACAGCGTGGGGATGTGTCCAAAGGCCGTGCATCTGTATCCCTGCAGGTGTGGCTGAGGTCATCGTCTTGGTTGGGGGCCGTCAGATGGTGGGGATGACCCAGCGCTCACTGGTGGCCGTCACCTGCTGGAACCCACAGAACAACAAGTGGTACCCCCTCGCCTCACTGCCCTTCTATGACCGAGAGTTCTTCAGCGTAGTGAGTGCCGGGGACAACATCTACCTCTCAGGTGAGGCCCCCCCAGGGCTGGCTTGGGGACCAGGCAGGGACTTCCTAAGGGCTCCCCTCCCCACACCAGGGCTAAGGAAAGCTGAGGCCCGGAAGCCTCTACTTTGCAGGTGAAGTTTTCTCTTCCTGCCCCGGGGGCCGGGCCTGCCTGGCCGTGGGCCCCGCCTCACTCCCTGCCCGCTCTCTGGACCTCCCGTACTGCTCACAGGTGGGATGGAATCAGGGGTGACGCTGGCCGATGTCTGGTGCTACATGTCCCTGCTCGATAACTGGAACCTCGTCTCCAGAATGACGGTCCCCCGCTGCCGGCACAACAGCCTTGTCTACGATGGGAAGATTTACACCCTCGGGGGACTTGGCGTAGCGGGCAACGTGGACCACGTGGAGAGGTAATGAGGCCACAGTCACGAAAGCTAAAATCACTTTGCTCCTCCACCCCAGCACCAACCCAGCCGAGGCCGACTGGAGACGGGACATTTAGAGGGCAATAGTCCCAGGCTCTTCAAACACGGCAAAGGGAGAGGACCGAGGGTGGTGAGAGGGAAGCAGGAATGATGACGGCTGGCCCAGCCGCTGAGATGGGGCACTCTTGTCCCATTCAGGGGTCAGACAAGCTGGAGGCATAGTGGTGCAAAGGCACAGGATGGGCGCGGCTGGCCTGACCGGGCAGCTAGGAGGCGCACTGGCACTGGAAGTCCCAGCCCAGAGCAGCGCTGAGACGTGGGGCAAAGCTGCAAGCAATGGCCCAAATGTGTGCCACGTCAGTGGCTGTGACTCCAGGTCCCTGCCGAGCGGGAGGTTCCACACCAGGGAGCCCCTTCCTCCCTCTTTCCCACACATCCCAGGAAACCTGCTTGCCACACGGGGAACAGTCACTGCATGCAGGTCTGGCCAACCATCTGGAATTCTCTAGAATACAAAGTAATGGGCCGGAGAGCCATGCGTGTAAGCCTGCCCTCTGCTGGAAATCCCAGGCTGGCTTCCTCACTGAGGCCCACTTAAAACTGGCCACGCGTAGTGTAGGGATCAGGCGGAGGCAGAAGGGGCGTAGGCTGGAGGTGGGCACTTCGCGGGGTGCAAAGACCATCTTTTCCTTTGAGCTGGAGCCCATCCTTGCAGAGGACGGACACTGTGGGGAGAAGCCTCAGGAAGGCTCATGAGTCAGCAGCAAACAGGGGAGGCCTCAGTGCAGTCCTGCTCTGTGAGAAAAAAGTGCCCAGAGAGCCCCAAGTCAGACTGAGCTGCTCCCCAAGGACCGGCCCAGGAGGTCACAGCTCCGGTCCCCAGAGCTCTTCTTCCACATCCTTCCCACGTGCTTGCCCACCACCCTTGGCCCACGTCATCAGCTGTCACAGAATGCACATCTTCCCATGTGGCAGCTTTCTGCCTGTGGACCCTCACGTACCCCTCAATTTGTATTTTTTCCCTCAGTGGCTAATTGGACACTTGACAAATGTTACAGCAAAGATAGTTTCAGAGTGAGACAAGCTCTGGATATTCACTGTGGGCTTTTAACTCCCCCAAGTGGAGCCCAGAGATGGCTCAGTAACAACATCTAATTGTCATATTGATTTGGAGATAATGGGGAATCCCTGTGTGGTTATGAGGATATTAATACTGCTGTTGAACCCGGGTCACCCCTGATGCTGACAGCCTTCGGTGGGACCCGCTGCACGGTCATCACGTCCCAAGCCTTCCAGAAGCACCAGCTCCCAACCGTTTGTCATCCAATAATAAACACATGAAAAAGGAGACATTTTCTATGTAGGAGTAAACTGAGCTAGACCTGTCATCCTGTCTTGCTTTTGTCAGCTATTTTTAATCTCCTAAGATGCTGATTACTCATTTTGCAAACTTATACTTGTTGATAAATACAGGGATTTGTTCAAGGATCAAATGCAAGAAGAGGGGGGACAGGCTCCGCTCCCCCTGGGCTCAAGAGCAATTCTCCAAGGCCTGGAAGCAGCCTGTACTGGCCTTCCCTGGGGGCTGGGCCTTCGTTCCACTGTGAAATACCTGCCCGCTCGAGCACAGTGTGAGCAAACCACCCCGGGAACTTTAGGAGATGGGGAGCCCCCCAGGACAACAGGGTGCCCGGAGCCCTTCCTCAGCCCTCTGGTAGACCTCTGGGTGGTATGCATACCAATGGGGTGGAGGACACAGGCAGAGGAGACGCGCACTGCTTCCGAGGAACGGAACGTAGCTGGAGCCCCTTTGGGCAAGGAATTTCTGTGCCACATGGTGGCGATGAGAATTCAGGGTGACAAGAAGGTCAGGGTAATGGGGACAGACACGAGGGTGCTTTGTTCCCCAGAAAGCGCTAATGGTACAAATTGCTCTTATATTGATAATGAATGAGATATATGGTACATTATAATTATATTACATTACTGTATTACAGGAATAGAGCAAGATTATATAATTATAGATTAAAACAACAGTGCCATAGACAAACCTGTATTATATCATTATATAAATAACTGGGTCTAATACTTCATAGCAATATATTGCACTAGCTGTGGTTACCGGATAAATGATAGCAGAGTGCCTCACTCCACAGGGTCATTTGCATGTCATTAGCATATCCTTCTCAAGCAGGAAGCTGACAGATTGAGCTGACGGAGGGGCTTGTGGCTTGGCAATCAGCCACCTGGAATAACAAACTCTCGGGAAATTCGCATTTGGCGGAATGTGCCATTATACCCAAAGCCTGAAGACAGCCACATAATCTTCCACTGTCACCCAGCTCTTCTGCAGGAGCTCTTTGGATCTCTGCCATATTGGCTTAAAAAACAGATATCTGAACTTCTGACACTGTCCAAAAAGACACTTACTGCATTGCCTATTAAGCCACATATCATTCGACTGGGGCTTAACTGAATCAGCGCCTGCTGCCCTGTAAGGTACTTCAGCCGCTTCTCAAACCCGGAGTCTTCCCAGGCACAGAGCTGGACGTCCCATCCCTGTCCCCTCATCCCTGTCTCAGAGCCAGGAGCACCGGCTAAGAGAGGCCATCTTCTGGATCACTAAGCTGTGACCGTGTTATGGCCCATGTCCCAGGGAGGCTGCTGGGAAAAAGTGGGCCCTGTGTGCTTCCCAGGAAAGGTGTGCTGGGAAAAATCCAGCCCACAGCGGAGGCCCCACCTTGGGTCTGGAACACGCGAAAGAGCCATGTGGTGAGCGGTAGATGGGCCACCAAGTGGAAGGTCCAGAGTGAATGCTGGTGAGACCAGCCCTCTAGGAACAATTGACAGAGACGCTGAGAACTGAGATCCAAGCTGTCCAGGAAGACCTCAGATACCCCAGTTCCTTGGCTGATCTGCTCCATCCCCAATCTCTCCCCATCAGCTGCTTCCTGTCACTTTTGTCCCTGCCTTGTCCGGTACTCGCACTCTATCTCTTCTCCGTGTTCTTACTTTGCCACTTTGTCCTGTAGTACACATGTCACAGATCTGTTCAGCCCTGACTCGTCCCCTTCTCCACGCCTACCCCCGGGGGCTGAACACTGGTGGAGAAAATCCCACCGTCCAGTAGATTGGCCCCATGACAAAGTGAAGTCATCCAACGAATACTGGGTCCTTCATGCTGCAGGGTCCTGTCAGCGGTTTCTCTCGCTCTCAAGAGCGTTTGGTTCTCGTCTCCTCCTCCCCGATCAAGGCTCTGAGCCCACAGACTCCAATACTCCTGCCGTCACTGACTCCTACTTCACAGAGAAGGTGGAGCCCTCAATCAACAACTCTCTGGTGTCCCTGCCGTCACTTCTGCATATGTACTGACGCTCACGCCATCCTTGCCTTCCTCTCTCCCACCCACACAGACACCACTTCCCTCTCCACTCTGGACCCTACTTGCATCTCCCCACCAGGGGCCTCCTTTGATCAGCCCTCCCCTCTCTTTCATATATATTTAATCTTCTTCTTATCCATTTGGCCTCCTTCCTGTCGGCACATAAACACAAGCCCTTCCCCCTAAAATTAAAACAAAACCCGTGGTATGCCGTAGCTCGTTCATACTGGCTCCCAAGAGGTGACTACTACCTTTATAGGAATTCTGCAAGCCAGTTGTTAGCTACAGGTGTTATTAAAAATCAAATCATATAAACTTAGAACTAAATAAGTTACATTAAAAACAAAGGAAATCCATACTCAAAACTCATCACTGCTTTTTTTTTAACTATATTTTTCACTGTCTATGCTCTGGAGGTGATATGTCCACTGTGTCTGTATATGGGTATATGGTGGATATTCTGACTGGCAGTGTCCTCTTCCCAATGCCACATTCAGCCATGAGCCATCGGTAGCTTGAAATCAGCCAAGATGAGAGGATTTACATCACAGAAATCAGCAAGTGCTTACATATCAGGACTCTTTTCCCCTAGCAAGCTTGTTTTTAAACACTTCTCAGCATACCCCCGACAAAAGCCATCTCTTAGCTCCATATGCCTTCTTAGGTCCCACCTTCTCTGCCCCTTTCCCAGCTAAGTTTCATCCAAGAGAAGTCTCCCTGTCGTGTCTACTGCCTCCCTCTCATTCACTTCGTGATTCACAACTAGCTCTCGACGAGAGCGCCGGGAACCCGTCTGGGACTTCTTTGACCTCCTGCCATATCCCCCACCCGTGGAGCTGTGTGCCCCCTGTGCTGCCGCCACTTCCCCGGGGACCCCCTCAGCTCCCCTCTTAGAGGCCAGCATTTCCTCAGAGTGCCCTCTGTTCCTCAGTCTTACTCTTGCCTACGCAGCCCCTGTAAGCTCCTCTCCCTTCAGTTTCCAGCTCTGTGCCAACAGCGACCCCATGGCTGCACATCTAGGCCACAGATCCGTATATCCAATGGCCCACTGCACATCCCCGGTCTGTTACCCACAGATGCCTTAAACTCCCCATGAATAAAACAGAAGTCGTCACTCTCCTCCAAACTCCCCAACCTCGATTCCCTGTCCCCCAGGTAGCACCCCCTCCATCCAACTTCCCAAGCCAGAGACCCTGAGTCATCCTAGGTGACTCTACCTTCCTTAATGGCAACATCAATTAATGACTGAACCCTGTCAGGTCACCTCTCCTGTTCCCACCTCCTCTCGTCCTTCCCTGGTCCAGCCCACTGTTTCCCCAGCTTCCAGCCCAGAGCCTGGGTAGACAGGAGATGCTCAGTGCAGAACCGTCAGACAAAAGGGTAGGAATGAGCTGGATAGAAAGGGATACAGGTGCCTAGAAGCTGGGGAGCTCTGTGGGAGCAGAAGAATGGAGACCAGAATCTGCACAGAGGCAAGAAAGAGCCCACTGGGGTTCAGGAGGAAGGCTGAGAGGGCTAGTTTGGGCCAGAACCTAGGTGATCTCAGGCTCTGCCAGTGATGCCAAGGGCAGGAAGCAAATGCTGGCGCCCCTCCCCGGCAATGTCCACTGCCTTGGTTGTCGCCCCTGCTCTGAGCAAGGCCCATCTTTGACACAGGGCTCTTTTTCTACTCTCTCGACAGGTACGATACCATTACCAATCAATGGGAGGCTGTGGCCCCTCTGCCCAAGGCCGTGCACTCCGCAGCAGCCACAGTGTGTGGCGGCAAGATCTACGTGTTTGGTGGTGTGAACGAGGCAGGCAGAGCCGCAGGCGTCCTACAGTCTTACGTTCCACAGACCAACACATGGAGCTTTATCGAGTCCCCAATGATTGGTAAGAACCAGCTTTCTCCTCAGTCTGGGGCCAGTGCAGCATCCCCACCTCACTGTTTTATTTGTCTCAATATCTTAAGCCCAGAGGTCGAGCTAAGGCTGCAGACCCATGGCTGGGGGCTGGGAGGGGGAGGCAAACCCCCAGCCCAGGTGTAGCTGCTGATCCCACTACCTGGACAGAGGGTGAGCTAGTCCGTGTGCCAGATGCCTGCCGGCCCCGGGCCTTGTCCTGGGGTTAACCAGCGACACTGGAAGTCCTTCCAGAGCCCTTCCTCTGGAGGGCCTGCTGGCAAAGGAAAGGGTGGGGAGGGAGAGGCCAAGAAGAGATGCCCTGACCTGCCAGCCCTGCTCTTCTCACAGACAACAAGTACGCTCCCGCCGTCACCCTCAATGGCTTCGTTTTCATCCTGGGCGGGGCTTATGCCAGAGCCACCACCATCTACGACCCTGAGAAAGGGAACATTAAGGCAGGCCCAAACATGAATCACTCTCGCCAGTTCTGCAGGTGAGGGGCGGCAGTAACTCGGCTAGGGTTGGGGAGGCGGAGGGCAGGGAGGGAGAGACGACGGGAGAGGTTTGAGCACAACAGCAATTGCCCGCCATTCGATGACCAAAGCAATTCCCAGGCCCAGAGAGGCAGCCCCCTCCAACCACAGGTATGGATATTAGTGCCAGGGCAGAGTGGGAAGCACCCAAGGGCAGCCCATGGCCCACAGGCCCAACCCTGTGGCTCCAGCTGACCCATCTCAAAGCCAGAAATGGAGGGCTTCCTACAGGCACCAGCCCCATGTCCCTCGAGGCCACATCTCCTGGGTGCTATGAAGACAGCTGTCCCCCAGGACCACCGGCACATCCATCACAGACAGGAGGCGGTGCCAGGCCAGAGCCGTGCGATTCCCTACATGGGACAAGGGGCTTTTCAAGGAATGCTCTGAACCAGGGAGCTGTACAAGGCACAGCTGACTGGGCAGAAACCCACACGGCCCAGCCCCCACAGGAAGAGAGGGGTCACCTTCAGAGTGTGCTTGGTTCCCAGTCTGCCTGGCCCCATGGCCCAGAAAAATTAATTAACTTGGGCAGTGAGACAGCAGAGCCTAATCTTATAGCCCCATCCTTTCCTGGGCTAAGAGGAACAAGGTATGAAAAGGGGTCCCTGAAACCCCATTTTCAACATTTCCATAGCAGATCTTTCCCGAAGATATCTTGTGCCCATGCAGAGGTAATCACCAAATCCTCAATGCTGGGGTAGCAAAGCTAGAAAAGTTGTAACCGACAACCAATGTGTCAGATGACCTTGGACAAGTGACTTCCACTCTCTAGGGAAGTTCTCCGATTTATGAAACAGGAGGTTGGACGAGAGAACTGCTAAGTTCCTATTAGCTTGGACATTCGACAGCTCTCGAGCCTTTCTCCAAATGGTGGCAGTGCACAAGGCCACTCTGACCACACTGTCGGAAATAAAGACAACTGGAGTTTGAGCACGGCTTATGGGGAGGATGCCTGTGCCTCATCTGAGACCAAAAGTGGGCACAGAAAGACTTAATGCCTGTGAGGAGCTATAACCTGGGTCTTGCAAGAGAAGCAGGGTAAAGATGGGCCACAAAGGGGAGAAATGTGAGGGGCCCAGGTGGCAAGGAACCACAGGGGGTAAGGCTGGAAACTTCAGGTAAGATGTCTGGACTGACATGTTCTGTCCCAGGCTCAGAACTTCAGAAAGAGGTGGAGACTTTGAAAGGGTATCTGTTCAGCTTCAGGGAACAGTCAAGAACACATGGCCAGCAGCTGAAAGGAGGGAGAAAGCAGGGCTGGGGACGCAGACACAGCTGTACATGTGACAGGGTGGCTGAACCACACAGTAAGACAGTAGTACGTGCAGACAGGAGCAGGATGCGGTGTTCTCACAATGGGAACAGCTGACTGAGGCAACAGCACCAAGGCAGCATAGCCTCTTACAGGAAGCTGGCCCAGGCTGCCACGGTAACAACCCTACAGAGGGTGCACCGGCCCTTGCGGTCGTGGGTGGGCAGCAGCATCGGGTCACTCGCGTTAGGCAATCATAGCAGGAAGCTCTGGCTATGAGCGCCTTGGCAAGGGCGAATTTCTCAGTCAAGTAGTCAATGTTCAGCTATGGCTTAGCTCCTAATTATCCTGTCTGCTATCATGCAGACGCATGTTCTCGTCCCGATTTGAGCAGTACGAAGTCTCTGTGTGGACAAGACAAGCTGCTCAGCAGACACTCGGTGAACTGATTCGAGGGCCGTACACAATCATGGCTGTTCTCCTAGCTGTCTTTAGACCGTCTGGCAGGTCCTGGGATGCCCAGCGTACGTGTCACCCACAACACGGAGGGTCGAGTGAGCACGCTACCCATCCTGTAGACGGGCCCTACAGGAAAGGTGTTTTTCTTATACCAGCTTGGGTCACAGGGCAGAGAGTCTTGCACAAGGTGGGAGAGGCAGCTTGCACCAGGACAGGGTATTAAGAATACATCTCCAGGTCCAAGGTGGAAGCTGAATGGCTAATTCTCCGCCCCCCGCCCCTCCCCCGCCCCAGCCGCCACTTTCCCCAACAGCGCCGTGGTGCTTGATGGCAAGATTTATGCAACTGGCGGCATTGTTAGCAGTGAGGGGCCTGCCCTGGGCAACATGGAAGCCTATGAGCCCGCGACCAACACGTGGACCCTACTCCCCCACATGCCCTGCCCTGTGTTCAGACACGGCTGCGTTGTGATAAAGAAATATATTCAAAGCGGCTGACATCGGCAGAAAGCCCACGTCGAGCCTGGACAAGTCGGGTGAGGCAGATGCTACTCACGGTGATCAATGTTCAGCAACACCAATAAGAGGCCGATAGACACAATCGAAGAAATCACTGCGCTAAACATTTTGAATACTCTCTACATTGAATGTAGAAAATCATCCTCGCCTTTGGGGGAAACGGGGGCATAGCGCTCCGAGCAGCAGGAACCACAACCATCCGAGGAGCTGGGCCGAGGGCTGGGGGGGGGGGCTCCTGCAAAGGCACTTGCTCTGAATGGAGGCGCTCACTCTGCCCGGTGCAATAGAGTTTCACATATTTTTTCAACTGGGAGAGAGAAGCTGATTTTTCCTTCCTGCAGAGCAAGCTTGATCCCTACACAACCATAGATCAGTTATCCTATGACAATATTAGGTGTCAGGCTCTCTTGGAATAAGATCAAAGTGTCCTTATCACTTTGATTCCTACTTTTGGTTTTAACCAATCTACACTTTTCAGTGGCCGAGAGAAGAGAAGGGACAATACTGTGCTGCACAAGGCCTGGGAGGTCCCTGCTGGTCCCTGCTGGGCTGAGGACGAGTCCAGCCGCCCGTGCAGAGCCAGATGTGGCTGGAGCCACAGCGCAGGGAGCAGCCTAGGGACAGCTGGGAGAACCTTTGTCCTTCACAGGTTTCTCTACCTTGGTTTTGCTGGAGGACAGGTGACCGTGCTAGCTTTCTCTTGTCCGATATGAATTATTTAGATTTCCAAGGCATTTTCTTGATAAACAAAAAGGCTATTTTTAAGTACTGAGAGAAGGAGGAGGCCATGAGAGGGATAATGCAGGAATTCCCAAAGCTCTTCGCAGGTAGTGCCAGAGTGGGGCATTTGCTCTAATTTTTTCTACGTGCAGAATAGAGGATCTCTCCTGGGTGGGGGTGAATATCCCCGTTTTATTTTTTAAAAAATGTAACTCCCAGACAGCCCCATTAAGAGCTGTGCCTCATGGAGGCATTGTCAAAGAAGATTCTGTTCTAGAAGGAAACCAGTTCTGGCTCATGACACCAGTCCAGCTCCCTCCATGAGGTCAAGCTGAGGACCCAGGCCGGGTAGGAAGGGAGGAAGGGAGGGAGGGAGAATAAATGTCTACAAAGCACAGGAGACTATTTTTGATATTTATAGCTATATATTAAGGCACCTGCCACAAGAGCTCTCAGGATAGGGACAGCCTTCGTAGACGAGCCATGACAGCCACGACCTGAGGGGCATGAGCAGAATCACTCCTCCTGTAGCATTTTAACCAGAGAAAGGGGAGCCAGGAGGGAGGTCACACCGTGGCTCATGAGAGAAAGGCCTTCCTGCCAGTCCTCAGACCCTCAAACCTCACGCGGTGACCAGTTTCCATTCCAGGGCAAGAAGAAAGCCGCCACCACTGCGCTTGTTTAGTTGAAGTTGGTACCAAATACGCATTCGCCATTTTTATATCTGGGAAGTCAACTTGCCGTCATTTCATAATAAAAACCATTTCTAAGGAGAAAAGGACAGGACAGGACGTGCTTTCCATCTTTCGGTATTTGATGACACAAAATTCCAGTTCTAATGTCGGGCATCAACTTCTAGCACTACCAGTGTGGCTCCCACTTGGACAAGATACCGAGCTTCGTTTATGCAGTTTTTACTATTATTTATTCTTTTAAAAAGTAATAAGCACAAAACTACATACGTTGTATGTCATTTAAAGTATTTATGTCAAACAGGGTGCAAGTGTGAACCCAAGGACCGGAGCACAAATCTCTAACTGCCTGGGGCAGGGCCGATGTTAGCGTTGGCGTGCGTCTGCCTCCAAAGGAGGCGTTAGCGGTCAGCGAGACTCAACACAGACGACATTGAAATTCCGCTTCTCTCCTCATCTATCACACTGGAGCAACACTGGCTATTTCTGTGAATGATACAAAACAGGGTTCTCTGTAATGGTATTGTACATAGTATATGTTTATTGTTAAGTTCTTGTTATATTATAATAAATATATTTATAGATCTAGACTCAGAAGCCAGT